TCTATTCTCAGTAAGTGTGTGCGTGCGCTTTGGGCCGTGGTGAGCGTAGCCCTGCACTCTCCCCCCCCCCCCCCCAAGCCCCATAGTCTTCATTTGTCCTCAAGCCACTTCACTGGCTGTTATGACTGATTCAACAGATCGATGTAGGGTGCCTTTGTTTCGGCTGGACGGGGAGCGCCGCTCGCGACACTGGGCTGAATTCCTCACAAGATAGACTCTATTCTCAAACAGAGCTTAATGATCGAGAAATGTTCAATATCCTTCCTTACTCAAAACTGGGATCGGCCAGAGACATATTTACTAAATCGGATAATACACACTGGTCTCTCTTCCAGGTCTGCTTTCTTTGTTGACAAGGCAGTTAATTCGGTACCAACCACACGTCCTGGTGAAATCATTGCACTTAATGCCCTGTGTTCCACGAGTAGCAATGAATCATACAGATGCCAAGACGGGGTGGCTGTGGTGGGAATGGTTGAGGAGATTTCTTTTGTGCTGTTCTTCGGTCGAGTAAGTTAGGTAATGTATGACAATGTACACTTAGGGTTAGATCTTGGTCGACATGCACCCCCCCTCCCCCACACACTACGTTCAGTTCAAAGAGATTAGATTCCAATATTCCAAGAGACAGATTTTCAGCTATTCTCTGCAATTCCAGAAGTATCATGATTAATAACTTTAGCAAGCTCGTTGATATCGACATGAACTTCAACAAAATGTCAACAATAAATATCAGTAACAAAATTACTAAGGCGAGAGGTTCGTCATTATATGCCTCGATATGTTATTTATACATGTATTTCCATGTCTGCGTTTTCATAGGCCTTAGCCACACCTAGAATAATCATTTGTGCGTGTTATTATATTCGTGCTGTGAGGCAATGAAGCAAATGTAACACCAAATTGTCACAGGAATGTAAAATAGGCGAGAGGACGATTTTTTGAAGAACACATAATATACCGTAGGCATACATATACACAAGCTCAACACACACACACACACATACACATACACACACGCACACACACACGCACGCGAGCACATAAACATGCACACACACACACACA